TAATTAGTCGCAACTAGTCTCATACGGGTACTAATGGAGGTCAATTACTCGACTCATGCCTTATGGGTATAATTGGAGATCAATTAGCCCCAACTCATCTCTCACGGGTTCTATTAACGATTTAATGATATGTACGCAATTAGTCAATGAAATTTCATGTGCGGCGTTGGCACACAGAGAGAGTATCCGCCTAACAAAACTGAGCACCCCAGTTCGAATCTCAGCTGGCGCAAATTTTTATTTTTATTTTTTAAAAGTGACTAGTCGCTTTTTATACCCATTCGGGTATAAAGGTGAACAATTAGTCTCTTCATAGGACATGCTCGAACAAAAGCGAACAGTTCATTCCATATAAAGAGATCAAAAGTGGTATTAGTCGCATGCTCCTTTGCGATTGCTCCCGGAGTCATCCCGGATTAGTCCAATTTTTTGCAGGGTAATTGCTAACCTCAAATTTAGTGACTTGAGATGAGACTGAATTACTGAATCCCAGGGTGAATTACTGAATCCCACGGTTAGCCAGCTGACAAATTAGTGACTTTTTTTGAGACCAGAGACGTGAGACAGCGTACTGAATACCAAATAGTCTTAATATCCAAGTTCACCACCAAAAGTCACTATTAATGACTAGAGACCGCTTACTGAATGCCAGGGTAAATTTGAGATTAGCAATTAGTGACTATTTTTGTGAGTTGAGACGATTTGGGTATTCAGAATGAGAGAGCCACAAAAAGTTCACCGAAGATGTGTGGTGAAAGCAAACACAGACAATCAACTGATAGTGTTTATGTATGCCTTTTGCCCGCGCCGTTCGAAGGGTCACAATGGCCGAGTGGTCAAAGCATTAGGCTGGCAACCGAGAGGTTCCGGGTTCAAGTCCTCGTCGGCCGTAGAAGGTTTTTTTATTTTTTTTTTGTATTTAGTATTTTTTTTTATTAGTTTTATTTTTTTAACAATCTTTAGATTTTGATGTTTTAAAAACTAAAAAATTAAATTTGTTTCAATACATTTGTATGATATTAAAGCATTTTGGTTTATTTGCTAATGAAATTCTTGTTGAACAAATTTCCTCGCTTCATTTTCGCGTTTTTTTAATAAAATGGAAAGAAATACGCTTTTCCTCCATACTTCTATTTTTGTGACCGGCTCTTAGCCAGCTGACAAATTAGTGACTTATTTTTGAGACTAGAGGCGTGAGACAGCATACTGAATACCAAATAGTCTCAAAATCCAAGTTCACCACCAAAAGTCACTAGTGACCAGAGACCGCTTACTGAATGCTAGGATTAAACTAATTGAGATAGATATATACAAATGTGTACAAGAATGAAAAGATAAATCGATTAAGCCGTAACTGTCCGTTCGTACGTAGTAAGGCGTCTTTAAATAAAAATTTACGCATCTAGCAGCAACAATATTGTAAGCATCGGAAGTTGTATAGCTACTAGCTGGAGTAAGACTCTTACGCTGGCATTCAGCAAGCGGTTTCTAGTCACAAATAGTAACTTTTTGTTGTGAACTTGGATTTTGATAATATTCGGTATTCAGTACGCTGTCTAACGTCTCTAGTCTCAAAAAAAGTTACTAATTTGTCAGCTGGCTAAGAGCAGGTCTCAAAAATAAAAATATGGAGAAAAAGTTAATTGCTTTCCATTTTATTAAAAAACGCTAATATGAAGCGAGGAAATTTGTTCAATAAGAATTTCGTTAGGAAATAAACCAAAATGCCTTAATATCATACAAATCCATTGAAAACAAAATATATATTTTTTTAACATTAAAATCTAAAGATTATTAAAAAAATAAAACTAATAAAAAGAAAGAAAAAAAATTAAATAAAAAAAAATAAAAAATTCTCTACGCCCGATGATTACTCAAACCCGGACCCTCTCGACCGGCAGCCTAATGCTTTGTCCACTTGGCCATTGCGACTCTTCGGGCGGCGTGGCAAAAGGCATACGTCAACGCTATCAGTTGACTGTCTGTGTTTGTTTTGACCACACATTTTTGGTGAACTTTTTGTGGCTCTCTCCTACTGAATAGCCAAATAATCTGAAGTCACAAAAATAGTCACTAATTGCTAATCTCAAATTTAGTGAATTGAGATGAGACTGAATTACTGAATCCCAGGGTTAATACCAGAGTGTCCAGATTTGGCGATTTCGCGCAAATTTGGCGATTTTTTTGGATATTTGCGCGTAAAAATTTAGGGAATCGCCATTAGCGATTTTTGGCGATATTTTCCCTTCAAATAAATTTTTTGCAATTATAAAAATATACAAAACCTAGTTTTACACGATAATTGTACAGAAGAGGCTACTCAACTGCGTGATAAACTTGATTTAAGAAGCATATTAAAAGACTGTCAAAAATTTCTGATCACCCTAATCGAAGAAATTTTGGTACGATTACCTAGTCAATTAAATACTTCTAAAAAAGGTTTGATTTTGTCAGCAGAAAAGTGTGTGAATCACAAGAGGGCGAGTTTCAGGGACCTAACCAATAACTTTTTTCAGAACCATTCCATCCGACTCTGAAGAATTTTGGATAATTGCTTACGGAGTGAAAACCGCAACAGGCAATAAAATGTTTGGAAATATAAGTAAAGTAGCCTTCATATTATTATCCTTGCCGCACTCATATGCTTTTGTTGAGCCATTTTTTTCCGTAAAGAATTCAACAACAACTAAGATTCGAAATATGATGAGGTTGGAAAACCTTAATTCAATAGTTCGAACAAAGTGTTATATGAAGGCTAATAGTTTCTGCTACAAAACGTTTCCAATATCAAACAGTATGTTATTAAGGATGAATAGCTCAATATATGACAACAACAGAAGTCAAAGAATAATATTTCACTAATATGGGTCTCGAAAAAAGGCTCTTTAGAAGATGGTATGCGTAATAAAGTTTCAAACACGAATTTTTAAAATCATATATTCAATTTTTCGCTTTATTTATAAAACATTTTGATAGAATTTTCAAATTTTTCGTGGTTTTTTGAAAAATTCTTCTAGAACTTCGTCAACTGAAAAATTTATATCTTTGTGAGTATTCATAGATGATAGACTGTTGAGTCTTTCTTGACATGTTGTATTTCTCAAGTAGGTTTTAATTCTTTTCAGGCATGAAAAGCTTCGTTCAGGTGTGGCTATTGAAACGGGCAAAAGTGCCAATATACGTAAAATCTTAAAAACATTCCCAAAAGACGTTGTATTAGCTACTTGTAATGCTTCGAGAGCATTTCGAAAATGATCGTGTGAAACTCGTTTTTTCCACATTTTTACCTCCAGAAGAAAGTTTTGTTTCGAGCAGTGGATTACTTTTTCATAGAAAGCAAACAATTCTTCAGTTGTTTTTTCGTTAAAATCATACTTTGGAAACAAAACACTAATCTTATTTAAAACTGATTTATGGTTTAGGAACCGGCTTTTCAAATGAGCAATATATGTATGTATCAAGGAAGGGAATGTAAAAAGCAATGCGATAGTATGCCTCGGCGTCTCCGGTTTTCACATTATAGCGATTCTTTTGGCGACTGCTGTATCGCGGTACTTTGATTTCTGTACCTAGGTTGGTGCATACGTAGAAGAGTGTTCGAAAAGCAAATGAAAGTTTTTCTGCATCTTGTCGCATTGCTTCAAATTCCTTTAAAGCGTCGTCGGCTAAGCTCATTGCTTCTGCAAGATCTTCATCAGGTACTTGTAATTGCCGGCTAGCAAAGCAACAACAATTTATAAAAAAGCAAATGCTTGGCTGTTGTCGCTATGCTAACAGTTTTTCAAACCCTCATAATTTCTATAGATATTCGCACGATACAAATAATTTTTACGGTATTTTCCCCTTGACAAATAAAAAGTTTTTGACAATTGGAAGAAATACAACTTCGAAAGTATTTTTTAAACGATTTTTCATTTTGCTACGTTAGAACCGTTGCCGAGAAACTTATGGATACATATACAAATACACAAAAATTGCTCGTTTAAGGTAATAAGAATAAGGGGCAAAATTTCCAGCAGGCAACAGCTGTTTGACATTAGAATTTAAATGAAAATAAAGGCTCGAAGTACATTGCGAAATTCATGTTTAAAATATTAATTTTCCTTTTTTCTAATAAAATTGTTATAAATCAGCTGTTGCGAAAGATCCTTAGCATACTAACCGAAATAAGTCAAAAAGGTCGAAACACGTTGCCGTACTGCCAACTAAAGCACCGCCAAAGCAACGAAATTGATATGAAGACCCCTAATGATTTCGAACCATTTCCCTTTCCCGATTGTAGAAATGGTACCTACACGTATGTTTCGCTGTTCCAGACTAATGACGATGATGAGAAACTTAATGATGGCGACAGGCGGCATTTGCAGGTTGCCGCTAGGCATAATACCTACATTGCTTTCGCCCTTCGATGCTATACCAACTGCGGCTACACTCTATAATGATGGTAATTATCCCTCGTTTTTCCAACAATTTCGACAATTTGCAATCTATTACTCCAAAATAATTAAAACGTTAAAACTCAACCCCCTACTCCATTATGAACGAAGCTACGAAACCATGGTGGAAAGTCCGACGAAGCCATGGTGGAAAGTACAACGAAGCGCAGTTACAATCAGCCACGCCCACACAATAGGCATTGATGCCAGTCGACATTTTAACCGCTACAAACACGCCCCAATAGCGGTGTGCTCTCACTTTTGCACAACAATTGCTAGAACGAGATGGCAATCACAGAAAGTCTCCTCCATCTTTGATATAGTAAACGAATCCACTGTGTGGCTTTAACAATGAAGCTGCTGCAGGCATTGGTGTGTGTGCGTGTTGCTGGCAGAGAGATAGAGAGAGCGGCGAGAGAGTAAGCGTGGAAAGAGTGACAATGGCTGAATGTTGCAGGGTGTGAAAGGTGTGGTGCAGCCGGCAGACAAGCAAACGGTCGCTGATTACGTTCAATTATCACATCGAGGTATATGATACGCAATTGTTGAGTGCAATTGCACAGTTGGTAACGTATACTCGGCACGGTTAAACGTTAAAATGGTTTAAGTTCGCCGGAAAACGACTTCTAATGACAAATGATACGAAACGAGCAGAGTGACTGATAATCTACGGATTTAAAAATTTTGCTCAGAAAAATCAGTGCAGAAAATACTTCTAAGAAGTGATACCCAATTAATTTTAAAGTGAATGTAAAATAAGCAAAAAAAAAAAAACAAAATCTGAGACTTTTCTATGTAGACGTTGGATGCTAACTTAGTGAATTAAAACAAAATGTCCAGTGTACAAGTGTCACAGCCTCCAACACTGCAACAACAGCAAACGCATCAACAACAGCAGCAACAAATTTCGCATTTCCTAAATCACATTGCTGCCGCGCAACAGCAAAAACTGCAGCGAAACCCATCGCCACAACGCAGTGATTGCCAGAACGATAATAACACTTGCTCCACGCTGTCGCCTCGATCGCCCGTCCATTCCAGTCCAACCAGTTCATCTAACTCGCCGCGGTCCGCCACGAACTCTCCACCAAGTGGATATGTCATAAATACAAGTCCACAGCCCGAAAGCAATCATCCCGGTTTACATCTACCCCCCACATCCAGTGCGGCCTTGCCGCTAATTGTAGCTCCAATACCCGCTCTACCACACCTCGCGCCCATGGCTACCACCACAGCAGCCAACAGTTTGCGCGATCAACGCATCTTCCCAGCTTCCGTCACACAAGCGCCGCAACCACCGTCAGCAATTTCAGCGTCACGCTTGTACGATGCATTCACGCCGAGTGCGTTGCCCGTCGGCCATCCCGCCTTGGTCAATGGCTGCTATCCCATGCCTCGTCTGCCGCTTAGTAACGTTATGCTAGCGCAGCAGAATGCATCCGATTCGCCACCAGTAACCACTACAGTGACGGCTCAGAGTCAGCCGAGAAAGTCCTTTTGCATCGAGGCGTTGTTGGCTAAAAATCAGAACAACGACGAAGCGTTGGAAAATAGTGCTTCGAAACCGTATACAGAGGATCGGTTGGCGGCATTTCATTATGCACGCGATAATGCAGAGTTGGATCAGGCCATAGCCGCCGGCATAAGTGAACAGGAGACCCTTCAACGGATAAGAGACTCCCGCGAGTATGGCACGCCAAGTCCTGATGGCATGTCGAGGTGAGTACCCAGACATGATGATGCTAGTTTTCAAATCTATATACAGTGCCGAAGAGAAGTATTGGCACAGTGAATTTTTCGCAATATATGCAAACTTTTTTATTCTAATTTATTTTCGATATTTCTTTATAAAAATATTGTTCGGTCTACCCAACAAAACATAATAATAAGATTTTTAAACTTTGTGCAAAACTCAGGAAAATTCATTAAATTTGCACACTAATTTGCAACTTTATATTCAGATTTTTTAGAAAATTTCTAAGTATGCAGTTTTATAGCCCATTCAAATTTACAAAGTGCAAGATTGAAGTCGCTAGAAAATCACGTTGATTTTTGGTAATTTTTTTCACGCAAGTTCTTCCATACAAAGTATGTATATTCGACAATTATTTTTTGTGTGGAGAAAATGAGCAACACCTTCCACTAAAAAAATTGGCAAAAATCAACGCGATTTTCTAGCAACTTTAAACTTGCATTTTGTCATACTAAAATTGAATAGACTATAAACTTCATACTGAATAGAAAGTTGCAAATTAGTGTGCAAATTTACCGAATTTTCTTGAGTTTTGCACAAAGTTTAGAGATTTTATTTTTATGTAATTATTTAATAATCAATGGCATATCTGCATCGTTCGTTGGATTTTCCAAAGTGAGTTGTCATCAAAAGGCTCGGGGTGCAGATGTGCAATAAGGTTTTACTTTTTTGAAAAGAGTTGCCACCTTTTAAAAAATTATATGCATATTGTTTAAATAAATAAATCAATTATTTCAAACTGGGTATCAACCTAATTGGTTTTGAAAAGCTTTGTTTTTTAACTATACTATAGGAGGGCTGCCACCTGTTTAAAAAAACATATTAGGTAAGAGAAACATGTATCACAATATGGGTGCCAAACGAAAGGGGTTTCAGAAAGTAGTAGTTTGAACATATTTTGAAGAGGGTTGCCACCTGATTGAAATGTTGAACTTAGGTTACTTATACACAAGTTATATGAAACATCAAAATATGGATATCCAATCTTTAGTTTGAACGCTAAGAATATTTTTGGGATGTTGGAAGAGGGTTGCCACCTGTTAAACAAGTTCAATGCGACTCTTTTCCTTGTGTATGTTTGCAACCCTGTTTTGGGCAAAGCTGATCCAATTATGGCATTTATGGGACTACCACCTTTTCCTTAGAAACAATAATTATAGAAATCGGTTAACGTGGTACAAAGGTATTGGCCCTTACTTAGGGTTTACACCGGACAATACTGTCATGACAATAGCAATACATGCACACTTTTTCATTAATCCATGCATACTTTTCCATTGGAACAATTTTGACAACTAATACGTATATCTTCATTGTCTTGACAGCATTGTCAAATGTAAACGCGCCGTTAGCTAGCGATATGTTAAATATACATACATTAATATGGAAACAACGAACCATTTTTACTTCATTTCGAATTGCTTGTATTTTAAGCGAATTTTTTAAAATTAAGTAAGCTAATTTTTGTTTGAACAGTCTGCAGCAGTTTGTTTAAATTCATTTAGAATGGGAACATATGTGCCTCTTTGTAAAAATCCCACAAAACGCTTTCAAACGCTTAAAGAAAGTGAAGCAAAGTTGACATTTGGCCAGCCTTCATACGTTTTAGTATATTTCAACTAATTTTTGGCAGTTCTCAAAGCGAAGCAAAGCAAGCCTGCATAGGGCCAATACCTCAAGAGGCATATGACTAATTATTGAAAATGTCATTACATTTCTTGATTTTCGGTCCAGTATACATAAATATTTAATTTATACAAATTAGTTTTTTTTTCTTTTCCGACGTTTTGTTGTCATATAGCACTAATTATTTCTATACAAGTTGGGATTAATAAGTATGGAATCTATTCCAGCTGCAATTATCTGCAATTCCTTTTTTAAATACTCATTAAATTAACAAACCTATTTTTCTTCGAAAATAGAGCAAGCATTAGAAATCATAAATAATGAGGGTAAAGGCATCCACACACCTATGCGATTCTGTCGCAACGAATCCGCACCGTTTTTGATGCTACAAACGTTACTGCTTCGAAAACGGAAGTACGCACACATCTGTGCGATTTTATCGCAGTAAAATCTGTCAATTTATAGACAAACAAAAAATATTTTTCAAAAAAAATAAAATTCTTAACTTTTCTACATCAAATATGTTTTGTTTTCTTACGTTCAATTTTGTTTTAATATTGTAAAATCCTTCAATTGACCTTTTTCGTTCTCAAAACGCGGAGTCTGCTATTTCGGCACTACCAAAAGAAGAACTGTGAATGTTTGAATAAATCGCTGCAGCAAAATCGCATAAGTGTGTGGTTTCTCATTTAAAACTATGGTCGGCATTGTTGTAACAGATTCGCACCGACAGAATCGTATAGGTGTGTGGATACCTTAATTCAAAATTAAATGGCGCGGTAAAGTAGAAAAGGATAAGTTATTATTTTTTTACCTTATATTTTATTAATTCAGAAAGTAACGCCGAATTTCTCAACTGACGCATTTTCATATACATACATATTAGGGCGGGTCGAAAATCTAATTTTTCTCAAATCCCTTGGTAATAGTGAAAATATATTGTATCATGAAGTCAACAACAAGCCTGCAAAATATTAGTCTCTTATTTTAATTGTGAGAGCCCGCACATCGACCGCCAAGTGACCCGCAGCAATCTAGTCGAATAACACCAATTCTTGTTAAAAATTCTGGGTTCAGCAAAAAGGTTTGGGGCATATTATTAGATAATGAATCCGTTAACGCAAAGGATAAAGTCAAATATCATTTCTCGCAGCCCTTTAGCTTATCGTTAATCTCAAAGTTACCTCTTTTCAATAAAATTTTCTTTTTTTAATATTAGCTATAGTTTGCGAATTTTTGCAAATTTAGGAACAATTTCGGTAGTTCTAATAGAAAAGCCATTATTCTCCATCGTCGTGGAAAAATGTTGTTTATGCAAATGAGTATGGAAGCACTGAACAGGCACAACTTCTAGAAACACTAATTAATGAAAGAACCGGAATGCAAAGCAATATCGTGCCATTCGAGAGTCCTCAAAAGGAGTTTCCAGGATATATTAAAGACTATTGCATTTACCTACCTACAGTTACTTTTTCACATAATGGAATTAACTAAAATATTTATGTAAACACTTGTTGCACAGGGGACTTTCATATGAAACCACGAAAAATCGACTTAAAATGGGCGTTTCTCGCCCTAATTGTATTATGTTAATGTATGCAAATACTTATATTTATGCTTGCAACTACTATTAACTTATCAAACGATTCCTAATCTTTGACAGTACATGTTTGACTTCATTCACCACGATCTTGAAAACTGGCCAATCGGCGTTTAATATTATATAAACATCCGAAAGCATTAAAACGTTTGAAATAAATCTCGTCTTTTCTTTTTTTTTGTATTTTCGACTTGGTTGCTGAAGTAATGAAGAATTGAAAATTCATAAGGGAAAATTATAGTTTTCTTATTTTTTATTTTAGTATCTTAAAAATTTGTAGACTTATCGAAAAATGATAAACGAACGTGAGGTACTAAATTTAATAACCCTTAATTTGATATATCCTCCTGTTTATAACAATTAACGCATTCCATAGATATTACAAGCCAAAGTTTCATTTTCAAAATTCATACACTCAATTGCGCGGACTAAAGATAAGTTTTAAATTAATCTTTCTTGGCCAATAACAATTGGTTTAGACCTAAGACATCATAATATTACTATTACAATACGGTCAAATGCCTTTTATTTTCCCCCATACAAAATCGACCCAGCCTAATACATATACTGAGAGTTTGTGCTTTCCATTTTTGTATAACTCAGCTTGTATAAGTTTGCATTTTGTATAATCCGAGGACTTTTCCATACCTGTTTATGGATTTTTAAAGCCTTTCGAACTTAGGCTTGTACACTGAGGTAAATAATGCATAGTAAAAATGAATACTTTATATTTGATTAGCGTTTAAAAATGTTCGTATTAAAAATAATATTTTCATACAAAAATTTATTACGCACGTATGTATTTGATTGTTCACATCTGAGTGTGTAAGTTAACGATTTTGTTTTACGGAGAAATTAAAAAAGCCGTTTTATTGGTCAGATGACCAATTTGAATGAGCTCTTTTTCAAGACTGATTTATTACAAAAATTTCACTTACTGGCTAACTTAATTGCTTAGCCTAATTAATTGTACCTGCCTGTTGTTTTGTTGTTGTCGCAAATTCCCTGAATTATTGGGATCGTGTATTTATTTTTGCATATTTTTACTTAAAAATAATTGTAATAAATGATATGTGTGTATTTACATAAAAATTGCAGCTTAATACCGATACATAGAACGATAATTAAATTAATTATTAGTAAACACATTTTCTTTTTGAAATTCGTTAGAATTTATAATATTTATTTCACTGCTAATTGTATACTTTTCGTGCATTTCTACTACTATTTTCTCAAAAGGTGATCTCATTCTTCTTCTTTCTCCGCACTTCCAAAATGCAACTTGTAAAAACCGTAGGGGAATTCACTCTTCTGTGTATTCGTTGTATGTTGTGTAATTGTAACTGCATGAGCGTGTGATTTGTTGTCGCTGGCGGTACATCAAATACACATGCAACAAGAACCACACGCACTACCAGTTACACTTACGCAGGATACACAGAATACAAAGAAGCGCGAATTCCACTAGTATTTAAATGCAAAATGATAAGATGTTGCAGGTTTTTTTTAAAAGCTTTTTCCAAAGAATTCCACACTTTGAGAACATCTTCGGAGCAAAGGTTTTTTTTCATCGCTCCGCTCTAGCTCCGCTCCGGTATTTTATTTCGCTCCGCTCCCGCTCCAAATTAAACAACTTTTTATTTATTTAATTACTTACATGAGGTACATATCGAGCCTTAACCGTAAAAAAATTAGCCAACAATTTTTATACCCGAGCGCACTTGTGCACAAGGGTATATT